AAAAAAAAAAAAAAAAAAAAAAAAAAAAAAAAAAAAAAAAAAAAAAAAAAAAAAAAAAAAAAAAAAAAAAAAAAAGGGAAAAAAAAAAAAAAGAGAAAAAAAATTTATTTATTAACCTCAATGACCAACTATTAACACTAATTTTTATAAACCAATATGCATAACAAAAATATGTCTTTCTCAGAAATACAAAAAACAAACATGATATATGAAAAAATCAATGGGATTATTCATATCGTTGAAATAGAGAAACAACATCTTCTCTAAGACGCCTGGCAACTCTTTTCCTAACTTCATCCTCTCTCTGGCGAACTACATTCTCCAACATTTCAATTTTACGCTGGCTATCCTCTAGCATTCCAACAGCTTTAACTAATCTTTCTTGAAATAGACTGATAGTTTCCTTAGGATCACTTGATACAGTAGTCGGAGGTAGAAGAAGTTCAGAATATGAAAAACCGGAATTATTATCTTGGGTATTATTTGGTAAATTATTAGACCATGGCCAAGCAGTATTTGTTGGAGAGTGAGGTCTATCTGTTTTTTGTTGTCCACGTTTATTTGAAAGTCGAAAACTATCAAAATGACCAGAAGTATCAGAGCTTTGTCTTCGTCTTGAAGCAGTATTAGTTTTATGAGGAGGAGAGGTTGTTGATGTGACAGAGGGAGAAAATTGTTGAGAGGATAAAACTTCACCAGATTGTGTAGGTATAGGACCACCACCAACAGAAATACTTCGCCATCGTAATTGAGTAGCAGGACCACCAGAAGTATTAGATACAACACGAAAATGACTAGTATCACCACTAACATTTGAATTATGAAGAAGTTTCATATCTGGCATCGTAGTAGGAGAAGGGTTAGGAGTTGGAATATGACCATTTTTCGGTTTACCAAGTTTAGGTAATTTCTCTTGAGAAGAAGCGAACTATAATGAATATTGATAATAATAACAGCTTGAATTTGAACATGGAGTTGGTACCCCTACCATTAACACGACCAATAAAATTCAAGCAGACGGAGAAACCCGTAGCATTTATTATCTTGAAGGAGAGCCTACCTGAACATTAGACTTTTTTCGCTTACCAGAATCATCAAGCTGCATAGATTCAGGATCTTCATCCCAGACGTCCCTTTCATCATCTTCAAGTTCATCCTCTTCTTCTTCACTACCATCTGAATAAGTAGTAGCTTTAACGCGTTTTCCACGATGATTTTCATGACCAGTAACATCAGCATCATCTAAATCTAGGTCATCATCATCATCAATATTATCATCATTAGCATTATTATTAGCGGCATCAATACTACTACCAGTATTACGACGAGTATATTTTCTTTTTTGACGTTTACTACTAGCCCTTCTAATTAATTTTAATACTAAATCACTATCATCATCATCAGCGCCACTACCAGGATCAGCACCAGTTGGATTTTTATATGGATCCTCGTAATACTCATTAGATTTTGATAAAATATAATCGAAGAAAGCATCTATATGAATAGAGCGCATCCATTTCTGCAAATAATAAAATATATATGTGTAAGAAATATATATAAAAAAAAAATATTTAATATATAAATTATGTAAGAAATTATAAAAATATTAAGAATATATACAAAATGCGTAAGATATATATAAAATATGTATTATCATATAAAAAATATATTAATATATAAATATGTAAGGTATATAAATGTAAAGGTATATAAAATATGTAAGGTATATAAAATATGTAGGTATATATGTAAGATATATATAGATAAATATATATAATATGTAAGATATATATAGATAAATATATATAATATGTAAGACATTTATATATTATATGTAAGATATATATCAGTAATAAGTTACTCAAAATAAAATAAAATAAAATAAAAGACAAAAGTAAAAATAAAAAGATATTCGATCTTGACAAATTAAAGAAAAAAAAAAAAAAAAAAAAAAAAAAAGAAAGAAATTTTAAATACCTTTAGTCTTACAGCATATTGTTGAATTTTTTGAGGACTCGATTCATTAGTACGTTCAACACCCAACTGCTGAGCCAATTTAGTCCAGGTCTTTATCTCACCCGAATGATGTTTAGAGACAAGTTGAAAAAGAACCCAAGTATCAAAAGTTTTACCATCAGATTTTGGAACGGAATTGAAGGAACGAATGAGAGACGACACATCCAAATCAGATGGGGCGGAAGGATTGCAATAAAGAATGAATTCTAGATAACGATCAGCAATATTCGCACGAGTCACATCTTTTTGTGGCAAACCACGACGAGTAGTGTTTGTTGATAAAGATGAAGAACCGGAAGCCGGTATTATCGGTTGTAACGATCGACCAGGAGTGGTAGATGAAGTAGATACAGATGGATTCGAGACATTCGCGGGTGAAACGGGAACGGAGTCTTTTTTATCGCCTGAAGAAGAATCGGGTAAATGCGGAGGATTCAAAGCGACGTTAACAGTTTTAGGAACACCTCTTGTTCTTCTAACAGGTCTGTGAGAAGCGGATTGTTTCAACGTTTTTTGAGAGGATTTTTGAGCAACAGGAACAGCAGGATTCGGAGCATCATTTGAAGATACGGCAGGAGCGGAAGAAGCGGTAGTAACGCACATGGTGCCATCAGAGTAAAATGATGTTGTCATTTGCGATGGGGAAGAACCTGTGCTCACGACCACATCGGATTCATTACGAGTGACATCACTCGTATCGTCTACAATGGTCGTATCATCGATGGAACCCTCTTTAGGTATATCAGTAGAATCTTTATTTACAGGATTAAAATTTGCAGGATTCTGGTCTGTCGGTGAAGGCATTGTTTAATGACTAATAAAATTAATATGAAAAAAAAATTCGATGAATAAATGATAATATTGTAATGATATAAGGAGTTAACAAAACATCAAAATAATAAAATAATAATAATAATAAAAAAAGAGAGAAAAAAAAATTATAAGATGAAAAAAATGAACAAAATTGGAGCAAAAAAATCAAACGATATGTTAATAAAAATTAATATACCGGACGTGTCGTGAAAAGCGCGCTCAACAAAAGATTAACAAAAAAAAAAAAAAAAAAAGGAAAAAAGGGATAGAATAAGGGGTGGGGGATTTTCACAATGAAAAGGATTCATAATACGATACCTGATGGATATGAAACTTATAAAAAAAACTAAAATAATTAACAGAAGACGAAAGTTTTTCAAAATATAAAATATTTGAAGAAGAATTTCTGTTAAGATAAAAAAAAAAAAAAATCAAGAGAATATTTAACACATAATAAAATACATAATATACATACGTAAGGCTGATAAATTAAAAATTATACCAGTTAACAGAAAGGGAGACACAAGTTTCACACAGAAATACAATAGCAATGATGATACACCGCAGAACTGCTGAAGGCAAAAAAGAGCAGATAAATCTTTTATCAGGTAAGGGGATGAAATGATTTGCCAATATATAACAAAAAATTAATAGTAAGATAACTTTAGAGATTACTTTTGTTTGAGAGAAAATGAAAAAGAAAAAAAAAAAAGGGTGAATATACAAAAGTCGGGGGAGTTGAAAATAATATAAGGGAAACCGAAATAGTCGAAATAGTGAGTACTTGAACGTGAAATTAGCCTTTAAAATTATAATAGGTGTTTTTAATTTCCTAAAATAGTCACATTAGATATATATTAAGACAAAGGCGTTAAAGTGTTGTATTAGGTTCTTTTTATGTTTAAAATGAGATAATAGATATAGACTACGGTATATAATAATAATAATTTAAGAACAGACCCAAAACAGCGAAAATCATTACAATGAATTATCAATCACTTATAATTCTTAGCAAATTGATGAAAACTTCGTTCTCGATAATTATTAAAAAAATATATATTAAAATAATAATATATCGATATACGTATATAAAAATATATCTATATATAAAATGTATATACATATCTGAATATTATAAATATATATTATATAAATATATATATATATATATATATATATATTATATATTATAAATATATATTATATATATATTAGATATATATATATATATATATATATTATATATTATATTTATTCACGTGCTAATAATTAAATTATAGTTTCGAGATCAGCAGGTCAAAAAAAAAAAAAGGCATGGGAAATAAGTCAAGTTCAATACATTTAAAAGACCGACAAAAGCTACGATTAACGGAGACAGGAAAACAATGATTATTTTTGATCAGACTATAACCTCGATAGTAAATGATAGTCAAGGGTAACGCCAATAACACAACAAAAAAAAAAACAAACTACATTCATAAAGTGATTTTTTTTGTTTTCATCTCACAATAACATATACAAAAAAAGATTTGAAGTAATACATTATATAAGCAAATCTTTATTTACTCTAATTTACTTATTCTCATTTATTATCATTTACTCGAGAATAATATATAGTTAACAATAAATTGATTTTAAGGAGTGTTAAGGAATTATTCGTATTAATTAGTAAGGATGATGCAGATTAGAGATTGGGAACAAGAAATCATTGACTCGTTAAACGACTGGCAAGAAGACGATGCAGACAATGCACAATGAGTCCCGACTTGAGTAATAATAATTATGCTTGTGTTGCGCTATTTAGTCATATGCCTATATTTACTTTTATAGAACTTCCCCTATTTATTATCAACGCAATATGATGACATATTCTTGGATCTTCAACGCAAAATTCCTTTTCCAGTCTGTTCATTATTCTTTGTTGTAAGGTCATTGTTCTTTTTATTTAATTCATACGTATATTTTTGATATGTATTTTAATCCGTATATATTTTCTGTCTGTGTATTTTTAATTATATAATAATATATACTTACAAAATTAAATTATACCGATACTTATAAACTATACTTATCGTTATAGTTTATACTTAGTTCAATTTCTACGCGCATTATGCAAGTATTTATTTATGTTGTAAATAAATGCGTTCAATTCGTTCTGTTTTTGGTATTTGTTTAAGCTTAGCCACTAGCAATATCTCTTTTTTGTCATTATATGAACTTTATTACTTTATTATTTTATTATTACTTGCTATATTACTAATTCTTACCTTATTTACTGCTTCATTAATATCTTTTTTCGCGTTTCTATTGATCCTTTTTTGTTTGATTTATTAGCTTTACTTTTAATAGTTTTCTAATTACTATGAAAAACAATAGTGTACGTAACTGTTTCATTTAAATAATCATTTATTGTTATTTATTGTTACTAAAATTCTACGTATACTTATTGTTAGTTTTTTGGCTATTTTAAACGCTACGTACGTATCAAACTATACATATTAACATATTCTTTTATTTAAAATTATTATTATAATAATTTATATTTAATATCGATATATTTTTTAAACAAAATCTTTTCTTGTATTGTTTTTTTGTTATAAAGTATTTATTTTAATTACAACTATAGTTATATAACTACTTGTTAATAAAATTTTATTAATAAAATTATATAGTATTTAATACTATATATAGTATTATAATATTTAATATTAAAAATAAATTTTGTTTTTATCTTTATTTTAATTTGTTTAAAATTTTTTTAAAAATTTTTAGAGCAAAATTAAAAGTTTAAATATAAATTATGTTTATAAGAATAGAATTAAAACTATAAATAATTAAAAATTCTTTTTACAGATCCTAATTTTTAAAAATAAACAAAAACTAAAAATCTATTAATTCTATAGTTTCCTCAAAAACAAACATAATAATAGCTTTATAAGTAATAATATAAAAGCTAAAGCAACTACTTTCTCTACTTTAGAAAAAACTTCAGAAAAAATAAGAGAAAACTGATGAAGTTCTTTGCTAAATATTATTTAAAAAAATTTTTAACAAACAAAAAATAAGGATTTGTTAATTTCTAGTATTGCAAATCTTTTAAGTTATACAAAATATTGCATATAAATATAGAAACAAACAAATATATATTTTATAAACATAGAGTATATATGCATAACTAAAACTAAATAACTTCTAAAAACTTGGATTTATTTAAGAAAATTACTACAATAAATCAGAAAAAATTTAAGCTAGAAAGTTTAAAAATATATTATATATAATTAAAAATATATAATCTTAGTTTAAACATGAGAAAAAAAATATATAAATAGAAAATAGAAAGATATAAGTTTAATTCTAAAAATAGTTAAAAAAGAATTAAAACAGATATTCAAAAAAGAAAAGATAAGATCAAAACTTTTTTCAAAAAAGAATTTCTATAAAGACTTATTAAAAATATTAATAGAATAGAAGAAAGTTAAAAGAAGATAAACTATTATATTTTAAGAATTACAAAAATTAAAATTAAGATTATCTCAATAGTTAGAATCTGATATAAAATCCTAAAAAAATTAATAATAGAGAAAAAAAAATAATACTTAATATTGCTCTTGAAGAATTAGAATAAGAGTTTTAAGCAACAATAGTAAATCTAAAAAAAGAATTAGAAATTAAAAAAAAGAAAAAATTTAAAAAAACAAATTCTCTATAGAGTGAATATACAAATAGACAAAAAGAATTTCATATCTTAAGAAAAATAAAAATCAATAAGGAAAAAATAGAACAAAATCTATTATCACAAAAGAAATTAAGAAATTAAAAGAAAAGATAAGAAATAGAAATAAAATAGCAGTTAAAATTCTATTTAGAAAAAATTATAATATACTATAATAAAGTATATAAATAAAAAATTCAGATAAAAAAAAAATAAAGAATTTTCTATAAATTTAACAAAAATAAGTAATAAATATAGAATTACTTCTAAAAAGATTTTATAAAATATTTATAGATGAAATTCTTTTAAAATATGAGAAGATACTACTAGAAATATTACAACTAGAAATTAACTATTCTAAAAAATATTAGAAAAAACAAATTGAGTATATAGTATTAATATATAAGAAAACAAAAGATATTTTTTTAGAAGATAGTAAATAGGTATTAAATAAAAATATATATAAAAAACAAAAAAAATTTAGAGCAAAAAATAGTAGCTTTCTCTCTTTTAAAAAAATTAAAAGAAGAAAAAATAAAATTTATAAGAGAAACTATTTATAAGAACTACTATATAAGTATAATAAAAGAAAGCTTTATAAAAAATAACTCAGAGTCTAGCAATCTTAATATAGTAGTTAAGTTATCAGACTACTATGCAAAAGATCTAGAATTCAAATTTTATTATCGATGAATTTGAATAATTACTCAGACCTTTATATCTAACTTATGGTAAACTCTGTTTGTTTCTAGAAGTTACAACTCTATAAATTATATTGTACTAATATCAATTAGACATTAGAAGTGTGATACAATATTCAAATTATATTGTATGAATAAATCTTGATAGGATCTACAGACAGAGGACCTGTATAGTAGAAATCCTAAGTTTAGTAAAGTAGTATAAATTTTAACTGTTAAGCTAGTTAATACTTGATCTAATAAAAAATCTAAGTATGAAAAATGTGAGATCAATAGATATGAGTAAGTTTGCTGTATAATATAGCCTAGTACTTGCATTAGTAGCAACACCAACTTGGCTTAGCAGCTAACTAAATTAAGAGAATCTACTTTGTAAAATATCTAGCTAGAACTTAGTAGACTATATCTAGTGGAAAACTATAGCAAGAACTTAGTTAGTATGAATATTGACAAGAGTCTAATCTAGATAAATCTGTAAAATAAGTATATGACTACTCTGTTAGGAATTACTTTTAAGGTTAACTAGAGCTTTATATACTCACAATATATTAGACAATACACATCCTGAAAGAACCTAAACTATGTAGTAAATGAATTTATATATAAGTCAGCTGGCTTAAGTAGTTAGATATAATAGTTATATTAGTTTAGAATAGAAAGAAGAGTTAATGATCAGAGTATTTAAATAGATAACCCACAAGCAGATTGCAGATATAGCAGTATAGTGTAAAACTATTAGATAGTTGATCATCTATATAGCAGACTACTTAAATTAGACAATAACTAAAGTTATATATATAGCTTATTATATACTTATCATATAACTATAAAACTTTAGAAAACTATTCATATAATAGTTTTATAATAACAAATTAATAAAATCTAATCAGCTAAAGAAGTAGTCTTAACAATAAAAAAAAAAACAACTCTTAGATAGTAATTACTTTAAATTATATAAAAAAAAAACAAATTCTGAAAGAAAAACCTATAAAAAAGAAATAGAATAGTACAAAGTTATATTTAAAGAGACAAATTCAAATACTATTATAACAAAAGATATAAAATATAAAAGTAATAGAAGATCTGGCAATCTTAGTATAGTGGTTAGATTACCAGACCACTATACAAGTGGTCTAGAGTTCAAATCCTACTGTTGATAGAATTGAATAATTATCTAGACATCTGTATTCAACTTATGGTAAACTCTGCTCGTTTCTGGAGTTGTAACTCTGTAAATCACATTGTACTAATGCCAATCAGAGTATTAGAAGTATGATGAGGCATTTGGTAGAGCATAATATTATACGAATAAATCTTAATAGAATCTATGAACAGAGGATCTGTATGGTAGAAATCCTGAGTTAGATGAAGTAGTACAGATTTTGACAGTTATACCAGTTAATGTATAATCTGAGAAAAGAAATCTGCATATAAAAAGATTAGCGAAATAGATACAAGTAAGTCCTGAATACAGAAGGATCAATGAAACAAGTGCAAGTAAGTCTATTACATGAGGTCATATAGCAATACCAAATTGGCTTGGCGGCTAACTGAATTTGGAAGGATCTGTCTCGTGTGATATCTGGTAGCAAAGCAGGCAACATCAAGTAACAGATTTGAGAGGATCTACTTTGTATGATATCTGGAGATACAGATAACTAACTTAGTGAAAGGCTACAGTAAGAACTAGGTTTGTATAAATATCGAACAAGAGTATATACAAGCTAAATTGGGATATAGTGTAGCATATTTGGATATCACAGTATCATTGATTAGAAAGTTAGTGAAGGGATACCTGAGATAGGCCTAGACTTCGAATCATAAAGTTTGTAGATTCATGTCAGCTCTGTTGATATCTTCTAAAAATAGAAGTAATACAGAGTTAGATAAATTTAGATAATAAATAATAGTAGGATAGAAATAGTATATAGCTAGAGAGTTTAAATAGGGAATTTTCAAATAAATTTTAGATATAGCAGCTAGTGTAGAACTTTCGAGCAGATTACTTAAATTAGACAATCTAAAGTTGTATGTATAGCTAGTTATATTCTTACCTATATAATCATTATTCAAAACTATCTATACCAATAAAAATCTCACCGATAATATATTTATCAAGTAAAAAAAAAAATAAAATAAAATAAAAATAAAATAAAAGTAATAGAAAAACTATATTAAAGATAAAAACAAAGATTATATCTATATTATACTATAGAATCTTCTACTAAACTATAGTAAACAAGAAATTAGCAGACTTGTAGAAAAAATTATTTTAAAAAAACTAAGATTTTATTAATATATAAAAATTAAAATCTTTACATATAATAAAGAATAAATAAGAAAAC